GTCCATATTTGACCCAAAGTTGGGTTGAAACAACCCAGCATTTTTTAGAGTGTATAGTGATTTCTGAAGGATCATGCTGAGACTCTGAAGACTGGAGTAATGGCTGCTGAAAATTCTGCTTTGTCATCACACACAAATACCTTACATTTTAAAATATGTAATAGAAAACAAATATTTTAATATTTTTCAAATTTTTTCTATTTTTATTGTATTTTCAATCACATTTATCCAGCCTTGGTGAGCATTAGACAGTAGTTTTAAATGGTAGAGTATGTATTTACGTTCTCTCATTTCTAATGAAATAATTTCTTTGATACTTAACAAAGTGTCTGTGTGTGTTCACAGCTTTGCAGATGAATTTAGTCTTCTGATTCAACTGCGGAGCTCACAAGAAGAGGAGCGGAGTGTGTTGACTTTGCTGAACTTCTATAATCACATTTTACTCCAGATCCGTATAGGCCCACACAGCATCACCTTCATCACCACACAGCAGCGTGACTATGAGTACAAACACCATTTAACACGTGCCACTGAGCACTAAGCTTTACCAATGTTGAAATAACGGTATTCTTTATAATAGTGTATTTGAAACTCTGGCTTCAGGTTTTCAGTGTCGGGGCTGTCTGACTCGCAGTGGCACTGGATCTCAGTTGGGGTTGCATTTGAATGGCTGGCTGTGTATGTGGACTGTGTGCTGGTGGAGAAAGTGAGCTGGATGTACCCGTACATGGGCATCACTACAGATGGCCTGCTGATGGTGGGGGGAATCTTGGAGGGCTTTGAGACACCCTTTGAGGTATTCTTCATTTGTTATATGCAAGGAGGGTATGGAAAGACACATAACTATAGTCAGTGTCAAGAATCCATCATGCCTGGGCAACCAGCCTTTCCTAAAGTCATTCATTAAACACTCTAAATATGTCTTACTACAACACAGTGGTGTAGAAGAATGTTTATTAAAGAAACTAGAGCTAACCAGCTAAAGAAGCACTGGCAATGCGTCATGGGAAACATATGTATGGCTGCCAAACCAATTTGCATTTCAGCTGTGAAAACCATCATCTTAGTGACTTGTTCTTAAAAATGAATGGTCACAAAACAGCATACCAAGCATTTCAATGGCACTGAATGCCTATAAATGGGGTTTTATCATGTGACTGTGGTATCAAGGTTACTATTCATCCCAAATCGATGAGGCATATGAGTGAACGTTTGACCAACACTCTTGTGAAATCAGTGCTCATCTAATGGATTGTTATGTGGTTGATGTCCTAGCTCAGATTTGTCTTTGACGTCGGTGTCTGTTCTCACAGGGAGAGCTAAGACAGATGACCTTCATAATGGGAGATGCAAATGCTGCCAAGGATCACTGTGCTCTTCATCAGCATATGTGTGAACCTGTGAAAGAACGTGGCTTTCTTAAGACAGAAAGTAGCACTGAGGTAGGGTTGATGACTTTGTGTACTTGAAAGCAGTTATACAAAAATATCTTTTTCAGGGCTATGTAATTTTTTTTAAAGTCCTAACCTGGTAAAATTACTGCTGAAAATAGTCATTAGTAATAAGAATTTTAAAAATAATATTTCATCAATGAAAAGATTAAATAACAATTAAATTATTTTAATTAAAACATAATTAAAAGATAAAACACCAAGTTATTAACAATGCACTATCAATGTCTTTGAAGAAAAAAATCTAAGAAGAATTTGATTTTTAAATGGTCATATGGTCATCCAAATGTCAATCATGATCAATAATGTTAGCGCTATATAAAATGTTTGAACGTTTGGTTTAATTTTGCACTTGTGCAAATTAGATGACATTTAAGTTTGAATAAAATGGACTAAAATTAATGAAAAAAAACTTAAAAGGGTAACTAAACAAAACTCCTATCCAAATAGAATCCAAATACAACTGTTAGTACAACATTTTGCCTGAAAAGTGTGCAAAATGTGGCTCTGGGCACAGCAATATTGGCTAAACCAGTGATGTCAGTGTTTAGGATGTTATTTTTTTTTTGCAATTGATTTTTGTGATGCTATTGCCACAGAGAATGCATTTCATTCCATTAAAATCTTTCCACACTGAAAGTAATGTGTTTTATTGACATCTTGTTTGCCTCTATTCACCCTACAGAGCCCTTTGTCATCCTCAGCTGGCTCAACAGCAGACAGACCTTTCACATCAAATCCCTCTACTGGCAGAGATGAGACTGCCAATATACATTCAGTTCCAGGGCTCCGGCCTGAACCCAGAAAATCACATGGTTCGGTAAGAGACAACAAGAAACATCCCAGTGTTAATTACAGACCCAAAAAGATAATTTACAAGTGATCTGTGTATGAATTACATCTTAAAAGCTCAGATACAGCCACAGTGAGTAATTCTGCAGCTATGAATGGACAAAGCCTGAGTTCAATGTGGGGAGAATGAACCCCAGCTGGAGAAGAGAGCTGGGTGACTTTAGAGGTCAGGAAATTGAATAAATGGGAAAGTAGGGATCACTCTGACTTCTCATTTGTCCTCATAAAGCTGTTGCTGTATTTTCCTACTTGGGGAGGGCGATGATAAATTATCATCATGGGAACTGTCTCGTTTCAGCACGATGCTGTAACAGAGAGGAGCTGTGCTGAGACACCCCATCTGGGAGAGTAAGTCCGGGCAGCCTGAGATTTTGCTGGTATACTCCAGGAACAGCTCCAAAGCTTGCAAATCGCCTGGAAAGTCATTAGACACCTATATTGCTTTGCACTTTAAGTGAGCTCTGTGCACTGCAGGACATACTTTTAGAAGTTTCCTGGGCTGATTTTTTTTTTTTTTTACATATATTATGAATTGATTGTTAAAGACTGTACCTCACGAGCTTGTGTTTATGATTGCACACACAGTATTTTGCTAGACACTGTCTGCATAGTTGGCTATGGGTGTAGCTTCATCCACAGTAATCTGGTTGGGTGTTTCATGGAAAGCAGGGATATACAATATATCATATGATTCAGTATGGTAAATCATATCATACAGCATTTTTTATTTATTTGTATCTGTCAGTATTGAATATTTCATTTTAGTCAAAGTTGTTTATGTCATGTACAAGTACCATGTACATAGTACAATGAAAATCTCTCTTCTCAGAAAAAAATACAATAGACAGTATTGGTATGTACAAAAATATACATGCAGTATATGCAGAGATGAAAAAAATTAGACAATAAATTGACAGTGCCATTAATATGGTTTAAGAAATTGCAAGAGTTGCAAGAGTGACAGTGTAAAGTTATTGATGTTGTTATACATGCTCATTTCTACGGAGCCCAATACATGACATGCATAAAAAAAAATGCATATTGTGGCCACAACTTAAAAGGGATAGTTCAACCAAAAATGAAAATTCTGTCATTAATTACTCACCTTCATGTCGTTCCAAACCCGACCTTTGTTCATCTTCGGAACACAAATTAAGATATTTTTGATTAACTCTTTCTGACCCTGCATAGAGAGCAACGCAACTGACACGTTCAAGGCCCAGAAAGGTAGTAAGGATATCGTTAAAATACTCCGTGTGACATCAGTGGTTCAACCGTAATATTATGAAGATATGAGAATACTTTTTGTTCACACAGAAAACAAGAATAATTACTTTATTCAACAATTTCTCCTCTTCCGTGTCAGTCTTCGACACACGTTCATGAGAGTACCATGATGTTGCTCTCTATGCAGGGTCAGAAAACACTGGGATTTCGTCAAAAATATCTTAATTTGTGTTCTGAAGATGAACGAAGGTCTTAAGGAATGTTTGTAATGACATGAGGGTGAATAATTAATGACAGTGTTTTCATTTTTGGGAGAACTATCCCTTTAAGAATTTGTTCCTACAATTTAGTAATTAATGGACACGTTTTCTGAATTAATTCCCTAGTTCTAGGTTAAAAAAATTCATACTGTACATTATAATGCTACAATGCCTAAAATCACTTGTAGCATTTTAAATGATTTATTTTAGTTTTTTGTGTAAAAATTTTTTTTTATTTTGAAATAATATTAAAATGATAGAATTTTAATACTGGCCATATATTGGTTATCGGCCAGTACATGAAAATAATTATTTGCTTCAGTATCAGCCACAATTTTAATATCAGTGCATTGACTTTGACAAATGACAAATTCAAATAAAATCTAGGGCATGAAAACAGGAAATATTACATCTGTTAGTTTTCATTAAAATAGATGTTAATTGAAAAAATGTACACTTTATGTAGACATGAAAATTTGTGCATAATCCTTAAGAACATTAAATTAATAGATTCATAGATTAAATTAATATATGAATAATCAGCATTCACTGTTCTCTGAACACGTTTTAAAGTGGTCTGAAATATCTGTAGTGATTTTATTATTTCATTTCTGTCAAATTGTATTTCACTTCATTATGCCAGCATTTGGACAATGGCTTATGTCACAAAACGTTCTGTAATGATTGTCACATGTTGAAGCCTACTGCCTACAGTTGAAGTCTCCAAAAAGCAAATGAAGCCAAGCTCATTTGGCCCACCAATACAGCCTGTAATACAGGAAGTGAGATTACATCAGTGTTCTGTTATGGTTTCACACACTACAAATGACACAAAGACAGTTGTATTATTTAGCAGTGAACAGCTTTAAGGTTAAAGATCAAGGCAAATCTGTGTTACACATCTTCCCCCAAGACGTGGCATTACATAGGGGAATTCCAGGACCATCCCATCTATCAAAGATGGAGCAGAGCCTCACCCCTGCATATGGATATGGTTTAGTTTGAGGCGTAATTGAGGCTGAGCTTACATAATGTTGCCTGTTATCAGCTAACCAGGGTTTGACAAACTACTAGAGGACAATACTGCCACACTTAACACAATAACCTCCTCCGGATAATGTTCTAAAATGTGGCAGATCTAATCTTAAATTTAGTTTTGTTTTAACTCTTGATCATTCGTTTATGGAGTATATATGTAAATGAGGAAGTGTGGGAGTTCTGTTCTGCACATGTCCGCCAGCACAGCATGGAAATGTTCTTGGCAATGTTTGTCTGTCATCCATTTATTCTGGCCTCATAAAGGTTAGACATGTAATTATGATCTTTGCACTGTAATTTAGTGCACCCTTCTGAAGCTAAAATAAGTCATAAAGAAGATATAAACTTTGGTTAAGTGTGAAGTTTTATTTAAAGGGGTCATATGATGCGATTTCAAGTTTTCCTTTCTCTTTGGAGTGTTACAAGCTGTTCGTGAATAGATAAGATCCCTAAAGTTGCAAAGACTAAAATCTCAAACCCAAAGAGATATTCTTTATAAAAGTTAAGACTCATCCACGCCCTCCTAAAACGCCTCGTTTAAACACGCCCCCACATATCTACGTCACGATGTGGGAAGATTTGCATAATGCCGCCCGACGGATTTGCATAATGCCATGAAGACGCTGTGTGTTTCGTTGTGATAGCGAAAATACTTTGTTTGGCCTTCCAAAAGAGGACACGACTAGAAATCAGTGGTTAAGTTGTATTTACAACACTGTTCCAGAACAGTT